TGTGCTCTGTTGCAGCAAAAGGAAAAATTGCAGGAAGCAGTGGCCGACCGCCATCAAAACTGCGACCGGCACCAAGGCTGCCAATCGGCTATCAGAAGTGGCCGATGGCCATCATCTCTGGCCGATCATCCCTCAGCATGTTCCTGAGATGGTCAGATCAACCTGAAAGTTGGCACAATTTTCAGAGGTCTAAAGTGTGCAAACAGAGGCATCTTGAGGCAAGGTAGTGGATTTCCGGAGGACCAACCGAACATGCATGCATCCCTCGCCCTCGAGGCTTTTAACTGTTTCTTAGCTAATTAATTCATTGGTTCTGTACTTAATTAGTTAACGTGCTTAGCTAATAGATCTATGTAGTAATTTGTATAGTTAGCTTAATTAGCGTAGTAGCTTAGCTAATTTATTCGGACCCTCCGTCGAGAGGGACACAATTTTGTAATAAAGGTGCGTGTGTGTGTGCATGTCTTCCAACCCCACGTCTTTCTCCCTTTTATTTACCAGCTTTTGATGGTTAGTTTTAGGGCATGTTTCAATTACATACTTATGCTTTGCATGCGTCATCATTATTCGTATTGCATGCACCGGGCTGCGCATCATTCAAACTGCATTGTATTTCAATTCTTATTTGAATACATGTATCAAGTGTAGCATTCATATGCCATCTTAGATAGCCGAGCCTATTTTAGTTGCATTTTTGCATGCGTTGCATTAGGCATCTTATATAGTTAGGATCATGCATGATTTTAATTAGCTTCTTTTTTGGCTCGGAGTACACTGTAAGTGTTTATACTTTAGCATCCTTGATGTGTGTAAGTGACTGCATGATAGCATGCTTGCCATGAGGCTAATTGCTTAATTGATTAACTGCATGAGTGTCTGTGGATGAAGGCTCATTGGCTTGTTTGAATTGGAACAATTCATCATCATGTGCGTTTTAAGCCCACTTTACAGAGTGGCAAAATCATGTTATTTTTTAAGCCCACTTGAGGGTGGCAAATCCGTGTCTTAGCCTACTTGCGAGTAACACTTTCAAACCATTTTCGAAAAACAAACATGAGATATTTTGTTCCAATTCTTGCGATTGAGTCTATACTTGTATGTTGTGCGCATCAAATAGTAAGTTAGCCAATAAACCGGAATACGAACGCATGTGTTTTCAAAAACAACATATCATGTTAGTAGAGGCCGATCTTTGATTAGGCGAGCGGGGGTGCTCTTTTCAAGACCTTGCCTTCTCGTACCCAAGTTCCCGAGCCGAGACAACTTTAGTGATGACGGACACGTGGCCTTAGGCACGAGTCAAGGTTTCCTAAATTTTCCAAAATAAAATATTTAGGTGGTGACTCTGAAATCTGGCAAAGCAGTCTATGTTTGGCGCTTTTTGATTAAAATCAATTTTCCAAAACGATTTGTTGGATTTGGACTCTTTGGTGATTTATCAGTCTTACATTGCACTTTGTGAGATTAGATTCAAAACCGTAACAGGAGTCCGAACTATAGTAGCTGGAACACAATTCGCACCCTCTAGCGAGTTCAGGGCGGTCTACAGGATGTAAAAGGAGACGCAGAGAAGGGGTTGATTAAAAAAAAAAAAAATTGAAGTACATGGAGTGTGCTTACTAAAAAGCACAAAAGAAGAATTTTTGAAGGAGTCCGGAAAAATAAACTATCTGCAATAATCTCCTAAATTGTGTTATATTTATCTTCATTACTCTCAAGACCTCAAACTTTATTTATTTATTTATTTATTTATTTCTTCACCTTTACCCTTACATTATAACCAAATAAAAGTCCTATTCGATTTTAGGAATGGTATGGTTTGGATATGGACATGATGGATAGTTAATAATGTGTGAATTTTAATTCTTAGTATTTGGCATTCCTTCCATGAGACTATTTATTTACTCTTTCTTATGAGCATTTCTCAACTAATTTAATTTGCGAGAAATTTTGCTTTTGGTTTACATTATTTTGCTCGCATATATTGAGAATGATATTTATACCATATTCTGAGTGATTCAATTGTTGAAAGTAAAATCCGGTGAGATTGGAGTCAAAGCATATTTCAGATAGACAATTGAGTAACATTTTACCTTGAGGCTAAGAATGTGTTTATGTTGGCTAAGATTATTCACACACTCTGAATTTTGGATATGTTGGGATATCTTTACTTGTTGCTAGTACTTTAAATTTTGATTGATTCTTTTGTTAGTATAATGAAATTCATGACTTTGTTCTTGAACTTGGTGCATGTGAATAAGGAGACTTTGATGTTAAATTTTTGGATGTTTGTGGGTATCATCTTTGAAAACCCTCACGAGACTATAACTCGTCCATTATGGGTAACCTAGAGGTTTAAGGGCTTATTGCATATGCTAAATGCAATCGCGTTTTCCTGCGAAAATGGTTTACATATTTTTGTTAAGAACTATATTTTTGTAATTGCCTTAATTGCTAGGGACTAGCAATAAGCTGGTTGGGGGGTGTGATAAATGGTTAAAAATGTATAATTATTTTATTATTTTCAATCATTAAGGAACCTTTATTAAATTAATTCCCCCACTTTATTTTTAATTGTGAATTAATGATATAATTTTACTTTATGTAGGATAATTCACAATAAGGATAAGAATTGGGTAAAATAAGGAAAAGAATAGGGCAAATTGAAGTCAAACTCAATTCTCAGCAAAAAAAACATGATGAGGCCAATGGAAAGGTGGTTTGTTAAATCAACACAACCAAAAGAAGGATCTCACGTGAATCAAGGCTCAATTGGATGAATGAAGCAATAAAGAAATCCTATTGGATGGATGATGCTGGAACTGCTAGGAACTTGCCTCAATTTACGCCTCAGCAATCACTATAAATACATGTTAATCTGTTGAGGAGGGGGGAATTAATTTCGGGAAAAAAAGCACCTTTTAATACATATTATTTTCCTTTTGCTTTGATGATGTTCTAAATTTTCTTTGTTAAGGTTAGGGGTGAAACCCTAATGTTTTCTTTATATACATTTTATGATTCAATCATGGTTTCAATGTCAGATTATTTTGATTGATTTATTTTATTTTTTTTTTTGGGAAAAAAATTTTATTCTGTATAATATCTTGTTCTATTGTAGACTCCGAGCACGATAGAAGCTTGATATTCCTTGCGAATCAAATAACTAGATTTTTATAGTGTAATTAATCAGCGAAAGTAATTAATTTTTTTTATTAATTTTTATATGGAATAATCATTTTTATCTTCCAATTGAAAATACTTTTTGTGTATGTTTCAATTGAGTTATATAGATTGAATCCAAAATATTTTAAAGAAAGTATTAATGGAACATCCTTGATGCCTTAGCACTCTTTTTATAATCACCTTATTTTATCTTTCAATTAATTATTTTTCTCCAATTATTCAATTGTTTCAAAAATTCAAAACCATATTTTTCTTTACTTTGTTTGAGTGGTCGGTAATTATTTTGAACAAACTGGTCCTTATGGATTCAACCTCGGACTCACCGAGTTATATTATTTCGCGACATCCTGCATTTGGGATTGCAATATAAAAGCAGCAGCAATTAGTGGGATGGATGATTTTTCTCTTTTACCCTCATTTCGTAATCACATTTTTGTCACATGATTGAATTTTGTTAAAGATTTAAAAATGAAGTAACAAAATATGAACATTGACACTTGTATAGGTATCAAAGTGGGATTTGAATAAAAGTATAGGGGTTGATTATCACGATTTCATGTGTAGTGACCAAAATGAGATTTGACTAGAAGCGTTAGGAATTGATTGTCATGATTTTATGTGTAGGAATCATAATAAAATTTGATATAAAATGCGGAAGTGCAAAATGTAATTTACCCTTAACATTGTAAACAGGATGCATTTACACTGGTATTTTTTCTATTAAATAAAGTCTACACTTAAATTGTTATAAATTTGTTATTCATTTCGGTTTTTCCAAAATACTTTGATAGTTGATTAGATCACATTTTGTAACTTCTGACCTAATGTAACTACCCAGATTAAACTCACATCAAATTTAATGTAAGGGAAATGCTACCCATCGAAAGGTGTATATCAGATGCATCATATTATATATTTTTGTGATATATGTTATATATTTTTGTGATAAATATTATATATTTTTTTGATAAAATTATGGCAATTTACAATTTAAAAATGAAGTTAAGCATTTTATGGTCATGTTATGCATTTTCACGATAATATTATATATTTTTTTTTATCTAAATATTTTTTAACAAAAAAATGTGCAACTTCATATTTCTTACGAACATTCAATTGTCATGTATATTTAAATTAAGTAGATCTATATATATATATTAAAAAATGCAATAAAAATATTTTAAAAAAAACTAATTAAAAATCTCAAAAACTAATTTTAAAATGCTCAAAACCAAACAGATGGTTGATATTATTATCTTTGTGAGATTTTTTATCAGCTCGGCCCACTATTAAGGGTGTAAATTTGGCTCGGCTTGACTCAATCGGGTCCGAACTTGGGTTAGCCAAATGTCGAGACGCGTAGGTTCATGTCAAAATTCAATCCTGGCCAGTCCACATGTCAAAAAAATTAGGCATAGGCTCAAGAGGTATTTGAGCTTTCGCCAGACTAGCGGGCCGGACTAGGTTGGGCTTGACTATTTTTTAAAAAAAAATTCTTCCATTTTTTTACCAAAAATAACACTTGACTTCTATTAAGCTGATGGGCTAGGCTTTGAGCTGCGCCGAGCTTGAAAATAAATGGCCCAAACTCAAGCTCAAGCTTAAGCCTAAAATCTGAGACTGGACTGGAACTTGAACTTGAACGAGCCTAGCTAACCCTGGCTGCACCGGACTGCGGGCAGATTTCAGATGGACTGCGAACCGGTGAGCTAAATTTACACACCTAAGCACTATGAGTCAAAAGCCCGTTGGGCTATTCAGATAGTGATAACCATATATTACCGCAGTCCGGATACAACCCCACTCCTGGTGCGGATATCAAAACAGTGAAACGAAACAGCTGGGTCCATCGTACGGCAACCGAATCAAAACACAACCGCTCACACACTCCACTGCCGTCACACACACACACACAGCTTGGTACAAAAATCCTCTCTTTATTCTCTGCATTCAATTCTATTCCCAATCGAAACACCAAAGTGAAAAAGAGCTTATCAGACTTTCCTTTCCTTTCTAGAGAGAGAGAGTTTGGAGAGAGAAACAGATGGTGAGGATAATTCCCATGGCGTCCTCCATTCGACCTTCTCTCTCTTCCTTGAGGTTTTCTCCTTTTTGTACTATTACCTCCTCTCGCTTCGCTGTTTCTATCTCCTCCTGTAACCCCTCTCGGAGGCTCAACTTCTTTCATCTTGGCAGCGGTAATGCTTTCTTCTTCAAACCCTAGAATTTCATTGTTTTCTTTGTGCTTTTTAAATTTTTATAGGATTACTTATTTCGAGGTTTGCGCTTAGTTGCATTTGGATTTCAAAAGTAAACGATTTAGTAATAATTATTAAAGGAGAATCCTAGCTCAAATTTAGATTTTTTTTAGTTTATATTTGTTTAAATTTCAATTTTTGAATTTGAGAGATTTATCATGATGGATTTGGAATAACAAATGTAAAAATAGTTATTTGAAATCTTCATGCCAAGGATTCTATATATATATATATTTAACTTTACTCTATGTTGCCCTTTAGTTTCTCAATGTAACTATAATAGCCAACTCTCCTTCTGTAAAATTTAATCTCAAACCCCTTCTTTTGAAATCCGTATATCCAAACGGAGCCTGTGTGTGTGTGTGTATATTTACACTAGCGGTGTGTGTAAATGCAATGAGTTTGATGAATGAAGAAGATAAGTTGAATTTGAAAACTGTTAGTAGTTATTAGCAGTCGAGGGCATTCTTGGAAGAAAAAAAAAAAGTGACAAAGCTTCAAAGCTATTCTGAGCTGTGTGCTTTATATAAAACAATATATATATATATATGGTGTGTTTTTCAATGTTGTTGCTGATAGAGAAATTAGGGCCTTGTTTGGTTTGGCTTTGGAAAAAGATTTTGGAGAAAATTTTTGAAAATTTTGTTTGGTTTGTAATTTTTTTCAAAAAAATTTCAAAATCACTATCTCTTTCTAGAGATCAATCAATCACTATCTCTTTCTACAGATCAATCAATCAATCATTTTTTCTCTCTACTCTCTCATTTTCAATCACTTTTTCTCTTACATACATCTACTCAATTATAAAAAAATATCAAATCATCCCAAACTCCAAAATTATTTTCAAAATATACAACCAAACAAATTACAAAAATTTCTAAACTCTCTTCCCAAAATATTTTTTGAAAACTTATCTCCCAAAGTCAAACCAAACAAGGCCTAGTTGTTGCTGATTCCTTTCTTGTTTGCTTGAAAGTTGTACTTTGTCGAAGCTTGTTTGATGACTATTATATGACGGGTGGATTATTTGCTGAAGTTATTTATCATGTTTATTTGATTATGAGTCACAAAATAATTGGTCAGGATTATCTATTGTTTAAATTGAATCACTATCTCTTCCTACAGATCAATCAATCAATCACTTTTTCTTTCTGCTCTCTCATTTTCAATCACTTTTTCTCTTATATACATCTACTCAATTACAAAAAAATATCAAATCATCCCAAACTCCAAAATTATTTTCAAAATATACAACCAAACAAACTACAAAAATTTCTAAACTCTCTTCCCAAAATATTTTTTGAAAACTTATCTCCCAAAGTCAAACCAAACAAGGCCTAGTTGTTGCTGATTCCTTTCTTGTTTGCTTGAAAGTTGTACTTTGTCTAAGCTTGTTTGATGACTATTATATGACGGGTGGATTATTTGCTGAAGTTATTTATCATGTTTATTTGATTATGAGTCACAAAATAATTGGTCAGGATTATCTATTGTTTAAATTGTTTGAATAGTGGTAGAGGCCATTGTGTTCTGAATCTAACTATGCTATTTAATAGTGTTATGCAACTTAAGTAATACAACAACTTAACAAATTCTCTAAAGAAAACAATTTAAGAAAGGTTGAAAAAATATAAATATATTATTGTGTAAAGAATTACAAGAGGTTTATGACTGCTGTTTGGGTGGTTTGTTGAGCATTCAGCTTTCCCGCTAAAGAAGATGAAAATGGGAAGTATTGTGGTATTGGAATCCCATTCTTTTTTTCTTTTTTATAAATCTATAGTAGTTTTATCACGCCCATTTTGTGATTTTGCAATTCAAGTGTTGGAGTTCTTGGGCCTTTTGGCCAAATCTTATTCTTAGGTAAAATGATCAAATTTAGTTTGCTTTTGATTAAAGTTGACTCCACCAAAGCTACCCTAAGTAAGCTTGAAGAGGGCTTATTGAGCCTGAGCCAAGCTTGAGTTTAATCAATGAAAATTCCAGTGCTCTATGCCTGGTACCTTCTTCTTTTTTCTTTTTTTCTTTTTTTCTTTTTTTTCAATTCTAAAACAAATGGATTAAAGTTTTTAGAGTTCTTAGATTCAGACACTTAGCCATGATTCTCAAAGCATATAGAGTCTGAGCTTAGCTTTTGATTAAAGTTGACTCCACCAAAGCTACGCTAAGTAAGCTTGAAGAGGGCTTATTGAGCCTAAGCCAAGCTTGAGTTTAATCAATGAAAATTCTAGTGCTCTATGCCTGGTACCTTCTTCTTCTTCTTCTTCTTCTTTTCTTTTTTTTTTCAATTCTAAAACAAATGGATTAAAGTTTTTAGAGTTCTTAGATTCAGACACTCAGCCATGATTCTCAAAGCATATCAAAGCATATTGCTTATACTTCATGTATTTGGATGGCTTGGGGCACCTTCTTTGTGCCAAAACATTTTATATTCTGGTGGATTCATATGATGAGTTCTACTTATGATTTTATTGCACACTTACTTGTTCTGAACATTTTCCAGCGGTTCCACAGTCACAGTTTTTCAGTCTAAAAGCTTCTAAGTTGTTAAGAGCAGAGGGAAACAAAATGGCAGTTCGCTCAACTGGAAATATGGCACAAGCAAGCACTTCTATTACCCAAGAAGATGCCCTAGAGTGGGTCAAAAAGGACAAGAGAAGAATGCTCCATGTCGTTTATCGTGTTGGGGATTTAGACAGGACAATAAAGTACATTTCTTCAATATAACATGACCTGCTTGGCGGTCTTGTAATTTGTTATTCTTCTCAACAGTGATGATGTTTTGGTCAAACTCTAATGGTGGCTGCAGATTCTACACTGAATGCTTGGGGATGAAGCTGTTGCGAAAACGTGACATACCTGAGGAGAGATACACAAATGCCTTTCTTGGATATGGCCCAGAAGATTCTCACTTTGTTATAGAACTCACATACAGTAAACCAGCTGAAAACTCCTTAATTTGTTTACAATTTTCTATAATATGGAACTTTTATGAACCCTCTGTAGTCAATAAGTGTTGTACTCTGTCTTGCTTGTGAGCTTAGTGTAAACATCTGCTGGTTAAAGTGACATGTGATTTGTTCTGTGTTAATGTTGCTTCCAGATTACGGAGTTGACAATTATGACATTGGAACTGGTTTTGGTCATTTTGGTATTGCAGTTGAAGATGTAAGTTTCTGTTGAAATTTTTGTGCTGGCACGTATTCTTTAACTGTAGTTTAAATACAATGCAATGCATCTTGTTTTATGTCGATACTCACAAGCTCCTTATCTCTATTTTCAGTCACATATGCTTAAACATGCCTCACAATGTCAAATATATGTATTGCTTGATGATGGAATCATTTTAAGGTCTTCTGCTTCTGAACTAACAGTGGTCATAGAGTAGAATACTGGAGTTTATCATTAATAATTTCGCCTTTGTCATTTATTTCAAGATCTCCTGTTTTTTTATTTTCCTGGACCCAATTATCTTTTATATTTGTGCATTTCCCTTATCTACATTCACATCACATGGATTGATTTAAATACTGGAAAAATCTTTGTCTTAGCTATGTGGCTATTTCTTATTGACATTGGCATAACACTTGTGTTATATGACACTTCTTCTGCCCTCCACTTAAAATTCATGAATGCTTGACAAGCAATGCTGCAAGAATATTGGATAGTGAATGTTCTTTTGCAAAATGTGTTCTCTACCATTATTTATGAACCCATCAGATTATGTTGAAGCACTCATAGTGATGTTGATATGAATAGGTTGCCAAAACAGTAGATCTCATAAAGGCTAAGGGTGGAAAAGTTACCAGGGAACCTGGTCCTGTCAAAGGTGGCAGCACAGTAATTGCGTTCATTGAAGATCCTGATGGTTATAAGTTTGAACTTCTTGAGAGGGGGCCTACACCTGAGCCGCTCTGCCAAGTGATGCTTCGAGTTGGTGATCTTGATCGTTCCATAAATTTTTATGAGAAGGTAGGAGTTGTTCCTTGAAATTGAGAGTGTTAAATTTTCGTTAGCAACATAGTCTTCAGTCCTTGTTTCCATAGCTTTCATAAATTGTTTGTAATAATTGCTTGTTAGTTCTTTACTTTTGGCTACACTGGTTTTAGTTCTGTATAAAGTTCTGGATTTACACTTCTCTTCTTCTGTTTAGGCGTTTGGCATGGAGCTTCTTCGGAAACGAGATAACCCTGAGTACAAGGTAATTTGAAAAATTCTCCATTGAACAATGAAATTTCATATCTATGTTACATGGACTGAGGTATTTGTGTCGAGCATGGTAAGTGGTGATAGGAGAACTGAAAATTTTGTTGAAACAAAGTTGGGCACAGTAGGAAAATAGTATTCGACTAAATTTCTTGATAGCTAGTAAGTGTTGATGCTATCATTACATGGTACTAGCTTATCGATTGGTTGCTGCTGTTGGTGGCCTCGGGCCTGGTGGGGTAAGCTTGCTTTTTTCTTCTGGCATATTATATGTCTTTGTGAGGGTTCTGAGGGATTTCTTTATAAGAATTCAGACAGGGTTCTCGATTAGGTGAAAGAGTCCTTTTGATGAACTTCTCCCTTGTAGCCTATATAATAAAGAACAAAGTTCCCCCTGTTGACATGTGTTGAGTTGCTTAGACATTAATATGTTCACATTCAACTGTGCTAACTACTGACTGTTGCTTCCTTGAGTTGTACAGCTGTGATTCTGAAACTAAGCTGCTAGCAGCCTGCTACAGAGGAAGTCATGTTGATTCTGTCTTTTTTTTCTCTCTAAATTGCTATCAAGAGCTTGTTGAAATACATCACTTCATATGTACATATTTGTACATATGGATGCGTGGTAAAAAAAAATGTCAGAATCTCAAATGGGAGATACCTTGAATTGCCTTAAATTACTATCCAGGTCTTAACCCTCTTTCTTAATTTGGGGTCCAGTTAGTTGTTGCCTGCTAGGGTTTAGTACTCATTTTAACTAGCCATTATATCCCATTTTCTTTCTTTAAGCTAACTGGGTGGGTGAGTCCGTGTGGATGTTACCTATATTCAAGTTCTCTCGGGCTATTATTACATATGAAAAAAAGAAAAATAGAGAGTTCTTTTGGGATATTATTGGCTTTTCAATCAACTTATTTTAGTTGCAGAAAGAATGAAGTTGCTATATAGGGAGTGAAGTGCTTATATTTCATGCAAATTTCTTGATGAATATTATTGTGACCAAATTTTTGAAGGTAGTGGCTGATATCAATGTGACAGATTAATAATCGATATTTTCTGCCGACAAATTTTTTACAACTATATTGTCATTCCTGACTTGAGTTTATGGTTCGAAGTTCAATTATTTGCAAACCACCGAAGGTTGCATATTATTTTCTGATTGTTCATTGTTTTCTTCCCAAGTTCTTTATTTTTTTCTATATTTTTATTGTTAGAATTATAGTTTCATGATGAATAAGGTATATGATATTGCGATTAAATTTCTAGTTTTGCCTGCCGTATGTATATGTGACTGTATGGTACACATGGTGTTTCTAGTATGGTGAGTTCTACATATATACATGACATTTGTTGTGTGTTTCCACGTAAGAGGTGAAACAAAACTATGAAAATTCATCAGGTGATACATAGCAGCCGTCATCGAGGTTAGTTTTGCTGATTGGACATCATACACTATGCATGTGCCTCAGAATTATCAGAAGGAGAAAACTTTATAAAAATGGAAGATAACAAGAGCATGATGGATACAAGAAACAAATGGAAATACACGATTAAATGCATTTAATAACATTGTGTAAGAAGTCAATGCATGTGCTCTACACTAGTTTACTATCATATGATTGTTGGATAACTAATATAGAATAAATGCCAAACTACATGCTTGGACATTCCAACATCACAGCTGCCTGTTTGTACATAATCAACCTCAAAAAATAAAAATTAACTGTTTTTTTTTTTGTTGAAGAAAATGGCCCAAATGTCTTGAACACTCGAAAGAAATTTTTCTAAGGTATGCTTCAATTAGTGATTTTTGTTGTCTGTTTGGTAGCACTTAATTTCAGCTTAAATCAGCTTTTGGCTTAAAATAAGCCATTTTGGAGTGTTTGGTTGAGCTTATGAGAGATAGATTATAGCTTAAATTAATTGATTTTGAGCTAAAAGTTGTAAGTTGGGTTTGAGGTGGTTTTTTTTTTTCAGCTTATGCGCGCAGTTGGTTGTGGAAGGGAAAAAATGAGTTAAATGCCCCTCCAAAACTTCAAAAATTACCAAAATACTAATATATAAACCTGACAATCAAACATTGTTCACATCTAGAGAGAGAGAGAGGCGATTTCCGGTGACGATTTCCGACTACGATTTCGAGCTGTTCTCTCTCTATCTCTCTCGGTCTCTCTCTCTGTGCCTCCGTCGTTGTCTCCTATACCCCATCGCTATCGGCCGTGCGAGGCGATCACAAACCCTAGCGCCACCATGTCGCCGCTATGCCTACCAGAGCTAGGGTTTTCAGTGTTATTTTAATAAAAAATAAAAATAATTAAAATAATAATAGTAATAATAATTAAGCATTTTAGCCATTAATGAAATAAATAGGAGGATAAATTGATACTAATTAATAATTTTAGTATTAATTAATGCTAATTAAGCCATTAATTGACACTAATTAATTTATAATGAAAAAATGAAATAATTTTATACTGAGTGATACTATTAATGAAAATAATAATTTTTGTAATACTAATTATATTAACTTTTATTAATGAAATAATTTTTTTTAAATTAAAACTGAAAAAAATGACAAAATAATCATTTTTTATATCATATAAGGGCAAAAAGGACAATTACACAGCAACAAATTATTTTACAGCTTATCAACCAAACACTACTCTGCTGCTTAAATCCATAATCCCACAGTTGCACCAAACAGGTTAACAACTTATGTTCACAGGTATAAGATATAATTTGTTAAGCTATAATCTATAATCAATTTTTCACAACTCTACCAAACGGGGCCTTGATACCATAAAATGATTAGAGAGCTAGAGTAGCTTTTGTGTGTTATGGTGTCTTTGACAGGGAAGAGGGAGAGAATGGGTGGGGACAATAGTAGTCATTTGTCATCTGCTTTAGTGCTTATTTTGAAAGCTGCTACCTATGATTCATGTGTCAGTTGTGAATTACGATACATGGCATTTGACCAAGACGACTTGCAAGTCAAGTATAGACTGCACTTCCATTAGTAAGTGTTGCGATATCATATCAGTTTGCCCCCTTAGATGACATGGTTGAGTGCACTCAGATGCAAGCCAATTCTTTAAGCCTTGTTCAGTTTTTGCTTATTGGATCATTGAAGTTTTTGTTTATATGAACAACTTTTGGTAGTTGCTTGGCATACATATGCAGCTGTTGGGGTAATATAAACTTCTGGTCCCTTTTTCAGTATACGATAGCAATGATGGGATATGGCCCTGAGGATAAAAGTGCGGTGCTGGAGTTGACTTACAACTATGGGGTCACTGAATATGAGAAAGGCAATGGTTATGCTCAGGTAGAAATGCTTCTTCATCCCTCCCTTTTACGTTGTTGAATTGTCTCTTTACAATGCAGAACTATTAATTTATTTTGTTCTGTGATGGACCCATCTTAAGGAACCAAATGAGGTTACTGATAGTTTGGTATCTTTGCAGATAGCAATAGGCACAGATGATGTGTACAAAACTGCAGAAGTGATTAGACTCAGTGATGGGAAGGTTACCCGAGAACCTGGACCATTACCTGGTATCAGCACCAAGATTACGGCGTGCCTGGATCCTGATGGTTGGAAGACGGTATAGTGCTTTATGTCTTTTATATACCTTCATGGTTGATTTGGATAACTTCTTTTTATCATAATGCTTGTAGAATAAAAATACTTACTTCGAATGACTTGAATTGGCTTTTAACAGACCTCAGGTATTTGATACATCTGCTTAATCTCTGTATAAGCATGTGTCTCATAATGTTTATAAAAAGCTAAAATGGCTCTGCAAAAAAGTTTTTCACATTTCTGGGGTAACTGTGGCTTGTGGTTTAGTGTATATATCAGAGTGAAATAGATATGACTTTATACTCTGCATATTAATTATTAGTTTATTATGAAAAACTGTAGTGTTGAACTAGTGTATTGAAGTTCATTTTTTGGTTTTACAAGATATAAATAGCTATTTATATATGTATAGGAGAGAATGTCTTGAGGTAACTATTTGCAATGGTGTGTAAGAAGACTCATAGTAGGAAATGCATGCATGACAATTGAAAACCGGTGTTCACATTCTTTAAGACTTAAAAATCTAGAGAAATATTTCCTCATTTTAATATACTTCAACTAATTTAGTTTAAGAATGGAAAGAGAGGGAGTTAGAAGACAGATTTTTTTTATCAGCAAAAGTGTTTGATCAGTGAAAGTCAGCTTTTAGTAGTTAAATTAGCTCCTGGGGGAGTTGAACCCCAACCTCTCCCTTGCTATGCTGCCTCCATGCCACTAGGTTACAAGGCCATTGACAGATTGACTAACCAGAGGTAAGTATGCTTGACTGTGAAATTTATGGAAATGTCATGGATTTTATCGAGTCTTATTTAACTAGTGAAATATGTCAACTTTTAGAGGGAGGAGGTGGTTGTTAAAAGCATTTTTACACTTCATGGGATTTTGAATAAAAAAAAAAGGGTTAAAAAAATAAAAATCCATTTTGTAAAATGGGGGAATTGCAAAAAAATGGGAAATAATTTTAAAAAAAATGGAGAATAAAACAAATTACAGTGGGGATGGGAAGTTAAAAAGGACTACAAAAACATGGTGGAAGTTTTACTCTTTTGCCTCTCCCACTTTTACCCTCAGCTGCTCTGTCTTCCCTTCCTCTCCTCTCTCTTCCTCTTCCCTTTCTCACCCTCTCCAGCCCCCGGCCATCCCTCCCTGACCCTTCCCAGCCCCTCCCTCAACCCCCTTCTCAGCCGCCATCACAGGCAGCCCCAGCCCCAGCCCTCCTCCAACCCCCTCCTCCACCCATCCCCCTCCCCGACCCTTTGAAACTATCTATAATAAGAAACATCAACTAACTTTCATTCTTTATTTCTATTGCCTTTCCGTCATGATCAATGTGGTTTGATATTCTTGTTTTTAAATCCTGCAGGTATTTGTTGATAATATTGATTTTCTCAAGGAATTGGAGTTACTTTGAGGAATTTCATTGTACCAAAGCTTGCAACTGTGGACCTTTGCCGAGACTGGTTACACAGATTAAAGCTTCAACTCTTGTGAAAACCCATGCCTTCAAGAAGTATTCCCATCAGAGAATGTATTAAAATCCCTGTTTTGTAGATAAAATTACTGTGATTCTCACAGTAATTAGTTTACTAAAGCACAGTGTAGAAACTCTGAGATACGAAAATTGTTTTTTCCCGTTTTGTTTATTTATTTTTGGCTGCACATATTGAAAACATTTTTGAGTGAAAACAAGCAATGCGAAAGAAAAGAAAGGGTAAAAGTTGCTGTGGAATTTTCCACATTGTAACATCCTCAGTTCAACTTTTATAGACTTGGGCCTGTTAAACAAAGAGCATTAGATATGCTCTACTTGGTAGTCATTTACTAGATTTAACTCTTGTTTTGCTTTTGCTTTGCTATATGAATGGAATGATAGACATTATTGCCTTGATTTGTGTTGCTTGTGGCTTTTCCTTTTCTTTTTTAAAAATTTATGTTAGAATGTTTGACACCACAAAAGTAGTTAAATCATCAGCTTTTGATTTCTGTTTTCTAACTAAATTGAATGGTTAGGGGTTGCTTTGGAAACCTTGAAGATTAATTGCATAAATTTGTTCCTTTTTTTTCTGTTTTTTTTAATTATGAATAGTTTTGTGACTTTGTTGAAGATGAGTTAGGTAATTATGCCTCTTATTTGGCTGGCAATGACATTGTTGGGTCATTTTATTTCCACATACTATTTTTGCTTAGTCCACACATTATTTTTTATTCAGATACGAACTATTGAATAAAAATTACACAATTGGCAAATCAATTTTCAAATGGAAATTTAAAATTCTGATATTAACTTCAGAACCGAAAGTATAGCCATATTATAATGTTTATCTCGAAGTTGATTTTTTGAGAGATCATTTGAAAATTAGCTATTTTAATTGATTTTTAAATTTTTTTATAAAAGAAGTAAAAAAGTATGGAGAAGAGTTGACCTTTTAATAATGATTTTTTTAGCTATATTAATGACTCCCCAAATGGCCTCATGTAATTTTGCTTGGTAATTAATATCCAAAACCAAAAATGTGAATGAAAAAGAAATGCCATATGAAAATATAACACTATAAAATGAAGTATAAATAAAAATATAATGATTTCGACCTAATTGTATATTTTCAAGGATGATAGAGGATGCTTTTGTTTGATTATGACAGTATTTCACGTTCCTTAATTTAGAGTGAATATTTGGCGAACGTATAACAATATTCCAGTGATAAATTAAGTTGGGGCACTGTATGGTTTGCCCAAGAGTAAATAATTTCTCCTTAATTTGAGAGTTTTTTTTTTTTTTTTTCCGGAGGGGGGGGGGAATTTCCCTCTTTGTACCGTTTTGAACATTTTAGTCCGCATTATTAGGTGTAGGCTAGGTGTGTTTTATCTTTATTCCCAAAATAGGGTAAAACGGTTTTTGTAATGCCGTTTTTCAAAAACGCGTTTTTCGAAAAACCGTATTTCATCGATTAAAATAATAATAAAATTTGAAATAGAAACCGACTTTTCTAAAGCCGTTTTTAATTAATTTTAATTATTCTGAATTAATTAAAAACGGTTTTCGTAAAACCGTTTCCCATTAATTTTTTAATTTATATTTTTCAACATAATATTTTTTGTTCAAAAATTTTTTTTTTAATTGAAAACCGGTTTTACATTAATTTTTAATTGTTTAAAATTTATATTTTCAACTTAAATATGAAAACTACCAAAAAATATTTTTAATAAAAAGTGGTTTTAAAATATAAAGTTTTTACATTAATTTTTTAAAATAAATATTTTCAACATAAATATTTTTTGTTCAAAAATTTTTTTTAATAAAAACCGATTTTAGAAAAGCCGTTTTTACATTAATTTTTTTTAAATAAATATGTTATGACCAAAAATATTTTTTAATAAAAAACGGTTTTAGAAAAATTATTTTAGAAAAACCGGTTTTACATTAATTTTTAATTTTTAAAAATTTATATTTTCAACTTAAATATGAAAACTACCAAAAAATATTTTTAATAAAAAGTGGTTTTAAAATATAAAGTTTTTACATTAATTTTTTAAAATTTATATTTTCAACATAAATATTTTTTGACGACAACTATTTTTAATAAAAAATGGTTTTAGAATTTTTTTTTTTAATTATGTTTTCTCATGTGGGAAGGTTGGACTTGGGCATGAAAAGATGAGTAAGAGAGCAGCAATTTCAATGCATTCAAAGATGGGTTTCTTTAGAAAATTACAGCACAAATAAAAATAAAAATTAAAACGTAATGCTTGCTTTGAGTTTTCTAAAACATTTTTTAGAAAATTCTATTTTCTTATTTTTCATATTTTTTTGTTTTTGTTGAATTTTTTAATATTTTAAGTTTTTAAACATACCTAACCTAAATACACTAAATGCCAAAAATACAAACAAACAGAAAAAATGAATTTTTGTAGTTCAAATTTTTTGAAAAAAAAATTCCAAAATCACTTTTAAAAAATTTTCAAAATTTCAAAGTGTTTACAAAGCCCACCCTGGAGTGGGAATAAAAATTTTATGTTTTAAATATTTATTTATTTTTTTAATGTGCACTATATTTCGGGGCTTTTCCATATTAAGCCAAATTATCATCTTAATTCCCAAACTAGGCCTAGTTTGGACGGAATTTCCAAACTAGGTTAAAGCGCTATTACAAAACACGCTTTCACTGTTTGGGGCCGAAAATTTGATGAACATTGAAAGCTTAATACAAATAAAAGTGTATTTCTCCACAAATAAATTTTGTCAACATTTTTGTAATAAAACTTAATACATAATATAAGAAGTCACTAATTTATTAAATATTCATACATGCGTGAAAACAACATAACTGAAGTTGCAAATCTAACAGTTTTCAGTTACATAGGTAGTACAGACATAAGTCTCCCACAAAAATACATTCTGGACACCATGAACTGAATACACAATACATATATCCTAGACACCATGAACTGAACACACAATACATAAACATAATAGTTAGACAGACAAATATTAGGTAGACAATCTGACAACTCATTACGAAAACACTTAGTCTAACACAGACATTACATATTAATGCAAGTTGTTATATTGCCGAAGTGTAGACATTAACACCTAATTCGCGCTTAAATCGGCAGGTGGCTCAGAGTCTGAACAATCCGAAAGCTCAGCGTCAGAGACAAGTTCAGGATCCTCCATGATACCCTTGATAGCCGCAACATTTGGTTCTGTTCTGTTCTTCTGGGCATCCTTCTTAACTATGTGTAGCTGCATATCACGGGCTAACCTACGGCCCATTTAAGAAATCTCACGTTGTAGTCTTTCACATAGTCGATCAACATTATCAGGATCTTCCTTTTGGATCTCAACAGAACGTGCTTTTGGCACCTTCAGTCGATTTTCCCGACATAATCTTTCCATTTGCACTCGCTCTATAAATAGTGCGGGCTACTTCAAAAGTCTAGCGTTTGCTAAACCATATCCTGTTTGATTATCTGATGGATCCTCCACCAAACCACATGGATCTCGATAGTACTTGGGCATGACAAAATGTCGCTTCCCAAACCTATCATGATAAGCACAAGAGGCATCTAACAAAGCAAATGGTGTTTCATCTTCAGCATCGTCACTTTCCCTTCCCCCTCCTCGTCGTGAACTGTCACCCTTTTGCAAGTTCCTACCACCTCTGCGACTCCCACTCCCTCCCACGAACCATGTAGCCATGCTAATTTTTTAAAACAAATGAATGATAATTTCGTAGGGCGAAATAAGTTGTAAGGTTGTGTCTTCACCTTTACTCATTTTTTCATCTTCAGCATCGTCACTTCCCCTTCCCCCTCCTCGTCGCGAACTGTCACCCTCTGCGACTCCCACTCCCTCCCACGAACCATGTAGCCATGCTAATTTTTTAAAACAAATGAATGATAATTTCGTAGGGCGAAATAAGTTGTAAGGTTGGGTCTTCACCTTTAGTTGTTTATATAGTTGGTTATGAACGGCTTTAGGAAGATGCCTCTGCATGACAGTCCCACATATACGAACAAGGTATGAGTTGTCACTAGAATGGAAAAACAGAGTAAAGCAAATATTGTGTGCCAAGTCATGTGACTTGACAATGCATCTGCATATACTGACAAAGTAAGGGCATGCTCACTGTAAGGTAAATCAGTGAATTCACTGTTGCCATGTGACTTTCTGAATTCAGAATCTCACATATATCAATAAGAGATGAGTTGTCACTGTAATCAAAAAATTGAGCAAAACCAAAGCTTGTGCATCAACTCGCATGACTTGACAATCCATCTGCATATACGAACAAAATAAGGGCGTGCTCACTGTAAGGTAAATCAGTGAATTCACTGTTGCCATGTGACTTTCTGAATTGAGAATCCCACATATATCAATAAAAGATGAGTTTCCACCGTAATAAAAAAAATCGAGGAAAAAATCGAGAAAACCAAATCCTGTGCACCAAGTCACATGACTTGACGATCCATCTGCATATACGGACAAAATAAAAGCATGGTCACTGTAAGGTAAATCAGTGAATTCACTGTTGCCATGTGACTTTCTGAATTGAGAATCTCACATATATCAATAAAAGATGAGTTGCCACTGTAATAAAAAAAATCGAGGAAAAAATCGAGAAAAACAAAGCTTGTGCACCAAGTCACATGACTTGACAATCCATCTGCATATACGGACAAAATAAGGGCATGCTCACTGTAGAGTAAATCAGTGAATTCGCTGTTGCCATGTGACTTTCTGAATTGAGAATCTCACATATATCAATAAAAGATGAGTTGTCACTGTAATCAAAAAATCGAGTAAAAAATCGAGAAAACCAAAGCCTATGCACCAAGCCACATGACTTGACAATCCATCTACATATACGGACAAAATAAGGGCATGCTCACTGTAAGGTAAATCAGTGAATTCACTGTTGCCATGTGACTTTCTGAATTGAGAATCCCACATATATCAATAAAAGATGAGTTGCCACTGTAATAAAAAAAAATCGAGGCAAAAATCAAGAAAACCAAATCCTGTGCACCAAGTCACATGACTTGACAATCCATCTGCATATACAGACAAAATAAAGGCATGGTCACTGTAAGGTAAATCAGTGAATTCACTGTTGCCATGTGACTTTCTGAATTGAGAATCCCACATATATCAATAAAAGATGAGTTACCACTATAATAAAAAAAATCGAGGAAAAAATTGAGAAAACCAAAGCCTGTGCACCAAGTCACATGACTTGACAATCCATCTGCATATACGGACAAAATAAGGGCATGCTCACTGTATGGTAAATCAGTGAATTCACTGTTGCCATGTGACTTTCTG